TAGTAGCGATGCCAGGAGCGCCCCTAGTAGCGTCTTTGCTCCTAGTAAGTCTCCCTTGCTCTGAAGAAACAAAGTCCGAGATGCCGAGCGCCAGGTTGTTCGGCGTCTGCCCGCCCACGGAGACCACCACACCCCGTGGCGTCTCCAGTTCAGCGATGTCCATGACCTCCGGTCCGCCACTTTTCCGGAGGTACGCTTTTACAGTGTCTTTCAGAATCCGCCTGTCGTCCTCACAGCTTCTATAGAACTGAGTTGAGTGGTTAGGCGCAGTGCCATTTGAGACCCGCCCACTGGCACGTGCCTTCTCATGGCTGAGCTCCTCGAAGTAGAGTCGATCTGACTCGTCGAAATCCGTGGACACCGTCTCCTCCAAACGAGAGTAACGCACACCTACGTTCTCTCGTTTGCGGAAATTGGATGGAAGCAAAATATATAATCCAAACAAACATAAGCTGAGCCAAGTCTCTGGGTTGCAGTTGATGACAATAGCCTTGTGTCCCAAGGATCGCAAGGTCCTTACACAGGAGACACTGCACCAGTCGAACTCCACGCTGCTGCCGATGCGGTAGGGGCCACAGCCCAGCACGATGATCCGCGACTCGCTCTCCTCGCCCTCGCGGCCCAAGCGCTCCCGGCCCTCGCCCTCGGGCTTCAACGTGAGGGGCTCCGGAATGGCCGGGGTCAAGTCGGTGATTTGCACGTCCGAGCATTGCTTGTCGCTGCCCACCAAAGCCACATCGTGCTCTTGACCTCTCCCGTGCTTTTTGCAATCCTTACACCTATATCATCTGTGTCATATAGTGTAGAACACTATTCACTCACTAGATACTCAAGTCGTACAGAACAACCAAAGCTTGTGAGAAAACGTGTACGTCCGAGCGACCAGAGTAGGTCAAATACAAATAGTTGGTTTCTGCTGGGTACTCGGCCGCCAAAGTGTCAATCTGCTTGACCATGGGCACAATGCCAAGCTTCTTGCGGAGGAAACGGATGTGAGCCTGTTGTCTTGCTTCGTGCTTCCAACGACCCTGTATACTAACTACACTTTCACTCGCTCTTGAATGATCTCAAAACCAAGTCCCAGCCTCCGTGACAGGACCACCGGTATATCGCTGTGAACCATGGTCAATGGGAAGAAGAGCTGGAGAAGGAGCGCAGTCCAGGATTCTATCTGGCACTGAGATCAACGATGCGATCTGCCGATCCGAGAAACCTCTGATCTTCGCCTCCTTCAAAAGCAACGGATTGCTGCGCAGCTCGTAGATGTCCATGGTCCTCATGGTGCCTTTGATCTCATGGAGGCCATGGAGCTTCGAAAGGAACCATCGATCAATGTTGGTCAACGCATGAACTTCCTCAACCCCCATTCCCTGCTCGAAGGCTTTGGCAATGGCCCACATGCGAACCTCAGAGTGCAGCGTACGCAGTGAAGCACTAAGGAAAATAGATCATAAGTCAAAGAAGGCAGAGTAGCTTGGCCATGCTATACTGTCATGATTACCATCTTCACAGCATGGGAAGTGTTTGCAGCCAGGAACTGGAGTTGGGTTGCTAAGCTCCTTCTTGAGCTCGGCATCCAAGTTGGTGCCACTGCAGTTGTGTGCATTTCGACGATTGAGCTCCAAGTCGAAGCGGATCGGGTCGAACCCAAGGCTAGTCTCATCAACCATACGGAGGGCTTTTTGGATGGTCTCCTGGGAACTGAGGCTTTAAAAAAGACCTGACCTAATAGCGAACTAGACCATATTAGATCTTTCTTCCTTTTCTTTTTCTTTGTTTCTACTAGCGATGGCCTCCAATTGCTACAGTATACATTTCTTTTTTCGACAGCATTTGACGTCGTTCAGCTGTAAGACCCTCACCGGAACATGCAACATGTGCTAAGCTGCGCCATCCCCTCTCACATCCCAAGGTCCTCGAAAGTCCTGCCGATAGCCATGACCTCGCCCACACTCTGCATGGCCGAGCCAATCCGGGCATCCACGGTGGAGAACTTTTGCAAGTCCCAACGAGGCACCTTTGCCACCACGTAGTCCAAGGATGGCTCGAAGCACGCCGTGGTGCATCGAGTCACACTGTTCCTGCAAGCGAAGACCGCATTCCGACAAACACACACTTTCCAGCTGGGTGACCTTCCTGATTCTAACAAGCACTTCAGTTAAAATACAGCTCAATCGCTTTCTTTGCAGAAAACAAACAGACTCGGAGAACTTCGCGCCGCTTAGCGCCCCTTGGCCCCGCTTGACGGAACCTTCCTGAGCTGCACCAAATCATGTCCCAAAGCCAACTTGGCAGCCACGTAAGCTAAGGGATATCCGGTGGCCTCAAGCTTCAAGGAACCCTCGAATTCACTTGCTTCGTGCAAAGAGATCTTACAAATAACTCTGTACTGTGTGGAGAAAAGGTGTAAAAAAAGGATTTTACAAATACATGACATGTATACTTGATTTTGGATTTGGACTCTTCCATTTGACCTAGGACCTTGTCATCTCTTCCTTCTTTTGACCGTTTCCTTGTTCTTCATCGACTGTTAGGCAAAACGGCAACACGGCCAACGCGCCTTCGAGGCCAACGCACTGCTGCGGCTCAGCCGAGCGTTCACCTCGATGATGCGGAACTCGGAGCTCTTCGGGTCGACGGCATACTGGATGTTGCACTCTCCCACAATGCCTTTGAGGCCATCGCTATTAGAAACAAAGAAAACCGAAAAGGAATATATAAATGAATATATATATATATTGTCTAATATGTTGCACTCTCCCACAATTCCTTGGGGTCGCTTGCTTTTTCATTTGGTACAATGGGCTGCGTTGACTGCACCAAGTGTTCACTTTCGCCCAAGAAGGTTTTTGTCTCACAATTTGGAGCCAAAGTGATGTCAAGCTGCCCAAATGTCGAATGATCTTCAGGGCGCACTGGCGCAACCTGTAGTACTCCTCATTGTTCAAGGTCTGGGACGGCGCAATGACAATGGACTCACCGGTGTGGACGCCCATGGGATCAAAGTTCTCCATGTTACAAACCGTAATGCAATTGTCGTTCTTGTCACGCACCACTTCGTACTCAAGCTCCTTCCAACCCTTCCTAGGCGGTCACGGCAAGAACTCAGTTCAAGTGCAATAGTTGAGGGATCAAACTTTCTCTCTGAACAAAGGTTCGGACAGCATGACAATTCATACTTTTACACTTGGAAGGGCTTTTTCGCTGTTCCCATCCATCCATCGCCCACAAAACCGCTTTAAAGCAACGCTAAAGCTAAACTTCTCCAAGTCTCAATGACTTGTCAACGATGACCTGCGGGCTGTTCACCAAGGCCACGGTCACCAGCTTCCGCAGCTCCTCTTCGTCGTTGGCGAAGCCGCTGCCAAGGCCGCCCAGCGCATACGCCGCCCGCACCAGCACGGGATAGCCGATCTCTGCAGCCGCGGCCGCCGCCTCGGCCACCGAGTCGCAGCAGGAGGACTCTGCGATCTTCTCACCACAGGCGTCCACCACCTTGAGCGCATGGGGTGAAACAAAAGAACGAACAAGGGGCCCAGGGGTCTACCAGAGGAGCACACAGAAATCTCTCCCGCCCCAATCGTTGCCTGACTGAAGAGCTCACGATCCTCAGTCTTCATGATGGCATCGATCTGAGTTCCTGAAACGATGCTGGAGAGGGAATAACTCGGTTGATGTGAGAAACCAAGGACTCAAAAAGACTCCTTGCAAGATCCTACACAAGCCTATTGCCAGAAGAGTTGAACAAGTTGAAAAGGAATGCTTTCAACTTCTGTTGTGGGTAACCCCAAGTATGGTGGAAGGTGATGGCCAAAATATAAACCAGCCAAGCATCCAAGCACCTTGACGTTGTATTTTTCGAAGACTCCAGCTTGGTAAAGCTTCACGGCGCAGTTCAAAGCCGTCTGTCCACCAAAGGCCGCGAAAATTCCATCGGGCTTCTCTCGCTCGATGACCTTCACCACAAATTCAGGCGTCCTCGGGGGAACTGCGGAGCAGTCCGTACTCTACAACACCAGAGGTTGGTCCGTACTCTTATGCTGAGCGGCTATCTCTGCGCAAAAAGAACTGGAGGTACTACCATAGGAAGTTGAATGAGTTACTCCCCCAAGAATGGAACTTGGCAGGCTTGGACAATCTCAGCAGTTCAGTGGAGAGCAGTGCCCAAAATGTGTTGCTAGAAAGTTGCCACCAAGAATCACTGGCAGGAAATAGGTTCTATCAGCCATTCCTGCAGATGTTTGCACCGTGGCAATGTTCGGATTGATGAGGATTGACCTCAGTCACGAGTCACGTCTTCAGCCCATGTTTGTGCTTCATCGCTGAAACATTGACAAGTGTTCACGCAACCTGTAGGCTGCAAGCTGAAGAGCCTTCAACCCACAAGATCAAACCAAACAACTTCATCCATAAACTTTCTGGACCCAAACGGAAGGTTCAATTTCTTGAAAACGTGTTTGTGTGATTGGCACAAATATGTGATTGCAAAGTGGCGACTTCGTTGCGCTGACGCCCGTTGTGGTGACGTTCGCTATGATTGCAACGCAACATGGTGCTTACGAAGAGGGGAGTGGGGGTCGGTGAATGTGCTGTACGTTGAGTGCAACGTAAGAAACGGACAACTCGCTGGCGTCTCATTAGAACAAAGGACTAGGCTTGCTTTGGATCTTGGGAGCTGTGAAAAAGACGCCACTACTAGTGAGGCCCTTGCTTCTAGTAGCTTCTAGCTACTAGTAGTAATGCCCTTGTTACTAGTAGCGATGCACTTGTTCCTCCTAGGTATGGCCAGGAGCTACAGGTAGCGTCCTTGCTCCTAGTAGCGATGCCCTTTGTTACTACTAGCTCCTTGCCACTAGTAGAGATGCCAGGAGCTACTAGTAGCTTCTTGCCACACAAGTCGTTCAAGTTTAAACATACATTCTGGTTGTGGTCCATCTGACTGATCAGGCATGCGGCTGCTCATGCAAACGCACTGTATTTTACAGAACAAAAAGCCCCAAGTCAATGTTGCTGCTGGCGATGGAACATTTTAATCATTCCAACATACGAAAATACTGCTTCAAAACATGAAAGCGTTCCTTGACTGGAGAGAAGGGGAGAAAACGACTTTGTCAACCTCTGGTTTATATAGTATGTCCAATTTACATCTCTTAACGTGCTCCTTCTATGCAATCCATTCTTCAAACAGTCTTCTGAATCCGTGAACGCACGAAAACATCTTGGACTGAAAACACGGGCTCTGCATTTACGAACGCATGGCCGCATGATCGCACAAAGGTGAGAGCGAACATGTGAGAGCGGAGAGCACACCAAGATAAGTGTGTGACGTCCGAACATGTGCGCACCACAAGGAGAGCGCAGCACAAAAAGATGCACGACCTCACCCCAGCCAAAAGAGAGCACTGCACCGGCCACGCGAAAGACCATGCAACAACCATAAGGACAGACTTTTTGCGAGGCTGTCGACAACATCGATCCACGCAAAATCTGGCCAATGAACTTACTATGTCACTATGACTGCGAGAACGAGCAAAGGCTTACGGCAAAAATCGTTCCAAGCGACATAATCCCGGCTTCCTTGAGTGCCTTGATCGCTTGACTGCCCGAATAGTCGAACTCGCCGGCTTGGCCAATGGTCAGTCCGCCAGAGCCCAAGACCAAGACCTAGCAATGGTCTCCAACCTACTTGCGATGGCCTCCAACCTAGTAGAGATGGCCTCCAATCTACTTGCAATGGTGTAGGAGGGATGGCCTGCAACCTACTAGCGATGACCTCCAACCTACTAGGAAAGTTTTTGTTTTGATCTGGGTGTAGATTTGTTTGATTTAGGTTTGTGCTTTGAAAGGTCTTGTTTGTGTCCCTACCCCTTCCACCCCCAGCAGCTGGCGGTAGCTGCTGGCAGCAGCAGTTCCTGCGCAACTGGGTTGCAGAGTGGATGGGCAATGGAATGGAAGTGTGTGGGTGGTGGGAGAACAAAGGGTTAGGATCTCTGACCATCTCCACATACTTGACTTCTGGCTGAGATAAAAGGAACCCCACCGGCATGAACATGACACCTAGTCATGCTTTCAATGAGCATACACAGTTGTCAGTTGTCAATGCCTACAACACCACTGGCACCCAAGTCAGTGTATTTCAAGGTCACGCGACCTTTCTGATGTGGGGACTGCTTGAAAGCCACTGGCAGCAGTGATGGGAAGCTTCATATCTCCCTAATCTGGTGGAGCACCAACAACTTCAACTTGCCTTCAACGGTGGCTTTGGACACAGGGACCCTGGACAATGACAAGCTGCCTTCTGCTGGGCAGAGTCCAATCCCAGCATGGTGTCAGCTATATCATTCACAGTCCAATGGTGAACAGGCCAGTGCACTTGAACAAGCAGAAGTGCTTGCCAGGACAGTGGCACATTGAGGCCATCAATGGGCCGAGCGGCTCTGGGAAACTTGTCAACCCAAGACACCTTGGGCCAGAGGCCAACATTCATTGGCCTGATGAGAATGCGGTGGGAGAGCAAGTGAACGCTGAATGGAGAATGTGGAGCTGGCCATTGTCTACTGAGTGTGGAGAAAAGGTGAGCAAGGATTGAGATCGTGGAGGTCTTGGCGCCATCTCTATTATTCTTGCAAGAAGAGACTCTTGCAGGGCACTTGTGTGACACTCTCATAGGACACTCTTGTGGGGCACTCTTGTGGGACACTCTTGTGTCAGACTCTTGTAGGACACTCTTGTGTGATACTCTTGTGGGACACTCTTGTGTGACACTCTTGTATGATACTCTTGCATGACACTCTTGTGGGACACTCCTGTGTCACGCTCTTGTAGGACACTCTTGTGTGACACTGTTGTGGAACACTGTTGGGGGACACTCTTGTGTGACACTCTGGTGGGACACTCTCGCGGGTCACTCTTGTGTGACACTCTTGTAGGACACGCTTGTGTGACACTCTTGTGGGCCACTCTTGTGTGACACTCTTGTGGGACACTCTTGTGTAACAGTCTTGTGTGACACTCCTGTAGAACACTCTTGTGTGACACTCTTGTGGGGCTCTCTTCTACAACACTCTTGTGTGACACTCTTGTGTGACACGCTTGCAGGACACTCTTGTGGGACACTCTGGTGGGACACTCTTGTGACTCTTGTAGGACACTCTTGTGTGACACTCTGGTGGGACACTTTTGTGGGACTCTCTTCTGGGATGCTCTTGTGTGACACTCTTAGTGGCACTCTTGTGGGGCTCTCTGGAGGGACACTCTTGTGTGACACTCTTGTGGGACATTCTTGTAGACACTCTCATGAGGATCTCTTGTGGGATGCTCTTGTGTGACACTCTTGTGTGACACTCTTGCAGGACACTCTTGTGTGACACTCTTGCATGACACTCTCGTGCAACACTCTTGTAGGACAGGAATCTTGGTGAGTTGGCTGCTTGGCCAAGCCGCTACCAACAGCATGCTTACAGCCCCTAACCCCAGCCACCATGAAGACCACACCCACATCTCAAGACAAAACCCATACAGTACCAAAACCAATAGGGGGAGCAACTATATGGTGGGTTGTGGGGTTGTGGGCCTTCACCCCACATCGATTAGCTAAATCATACACACCCATCTAAGGACAACATGCTGCTGGATCTGTGTCCTGGGAGCGCTTGAACCTCCTGCCCTGGAGTGCTTGGGAAGGCAGGACCTGGGCAGACAAGTTGTTGGGGCACCAGTTGAGGTTGGGTTTGTTGTGGGTTTTGCTGATGGCTCCAAAAAACTTCAGCCCTCAAGTCAAGGTCTTGGACTGGCAATTTTTCTCCAAAGCTGGTCCAATCCAAAAAGACTTCAGCCCTCAAGGACTAGGATCTTCCCTGGTTCAAGGGTGACATCCTGAGTCCACACCACTACAGGCCTAATCGGTTGTAGGCCTTTCTGGCTTGGCCGCAAGTGCCACGCAATGCATGTGCAACTGCTTTTCCAAGCATTCACAAGGGCTTGTTTTGCCACCTGTGCTTGGGCCACCCGCGTTTCCTTGTCTTCAGGCAACGGTTGGAAGATTACTGTATGGTCCTGCAAGGATGGCCACCAAAGCTTTGAACACACCTGGGCCTAGTAGGAAAAGCCTCAACAAAAGGTATCACACATACCAAGAAAAGGCAATTAACTATCATGCTTTTCAACATCGCAATATGTGTGTTACCTTTTGTTGTGAGGTGTTTAAAACTCACACCTTCCCTCATTTGGACTAAAAAAATACATATTAATGTAACACATATAAATATATGTATATATATATATATGCATGTGTCCTGTAGAAATTCCCATCCACCAGATGGATCCTGCTTGATCGTGTGATAGCAAAGCTTCGGGTGTTGCGACTTTACCTTCTGCTCTGCAGTCAGCAAGTCGGTGAGGAGGTTCAGTTTGTTGTCCATCATGCCATATGTCTCAGCACCACAGGTAAACTCAAGTTCATTGTCTTTGCACTTCTGTTCGCTGCCATCACGGAACTTGCCCTTGCCCCACCCAGCCAGGATGGAACCAGCAGGAAAGGTCACCTCAAACAATGTTTGGTGGTTATCTTGTACAAATCGTATATGTTGTTTTTGCATGTCAATTGGGACATCCATCACACAAACAAGACTAAGTTGCAACACAGGTTGGAACACCAATCAATACAAAGAAAGGTGAGACAGGTCACCGGGTGCTCAGTGGCATTCTCCACATATGGCCCGCCATCAGAAACCACAAGAGTTGGAAGGTCCTGGCTCTTCACATCAGCTGGAAACCTGGCATTGATGATCTGCACCTGTGCCACCTTGACTCCGCCAGGTGCACTCCCTCCATCCCGCAAGTGCTTGGAGATGTCCACCTCCAATTTGCGCTTGACAGGCACAGCTGCAGAAACTGAATCAGAAGCCTTGGGGGCCTCTTTCTCAAGCTGCTTCACTGGAGGGTGCCGCTCCTGGAACTCTTGGACAAAGCACTTCCATTCATCTTTGCTCCACCACTTCTTGACCTCATCCTCAGGGAGCTCAATGGTGCGGATCTCATTCTTCACCTGCCCAAGTTGTTCAACACTCACAACAAATGATCTCAATCTTCACCTGCCTAAGTTGTTCAACACTCTCAACAAATGACAGCAACTGATGGGAGACTTGGCAAAGCAGCAACAACTGGAGCAATGAACCACTGGCCTTGCCCCACAAGCACCGCTTCAAGGCAGGAGGCTCCGGCTTGGATTCCATGTGCTCCGCAGGGGGGTTGAGAGGGAAGCCTGGCAAAAGGTCTCAGCCATGGGATGCTTATTTCTTTGAATTGAAACACCAGAGGGGGTTCAGAAGGGAGTCTTGCAAAATATCTCAACCATGTGACACCTAATTCTTTGGAATACTCCTTTCCCAAACACGCCCTTCCAAGACCAACATGCCTGGAAGAACCAGGGATTTTCAAAGAGTCCTGCAGGAAGCGCTTGGTCAGCTCTTGGTGAAAATAGCCAGAAAACCATTCCTGATGCCCATCATCTGCAAAAAGTGGAACATACTTCATGGGCACGTTGGTATCTTTGGACACCTCCAGGTAGGCCTCAAAGAAGTTTCCAACCAGCGGCGTTGTGTCCACCACAAGAAGGGATGTGTGATTCCCAAAGTTCACACCCTCCTTAGCAATGACTGCTTGCTGGACAAGACTGGCAACTGGTTTTGGAAACCTCAACAGGGCTAGAGTCTAGAACCCCAAACCTCAGCAAAGTGTTGCCAACAAGAAAGGTTTATGGCCCAGAAGAGGTTCCAGCGCAGATGACAACAGCTTCCGGGCTGCATCAGAGCCAATCTGGGCATACTTTTGGGCGCCATGTAAAGTTCCAGCATCTGTGCTAAGAAGGGCCTTCGGGTTCATGTCTTCCTGAATCACCATTTGCTTGCTTGCCAGCTGCAAAGCCTCATTCGTGTTGCGACGAAGCTTAAAGAGGGTAGACTCACGCCAAGCCCAATCGCTTCCTGCGTTGGCTGGAGCAAGAAACCGGCCATTGTATGCCATAGGACGCTGATCTCTTTGGTCCTGATTGGCCAGGAGAAAAGGACTGATTTCTGGGAGGATGTTGAAAAAGCAAAAACTAGACAAGAAAAGTGCATCTAGGCTGTGGGGAGGTCTCTGTCTTGGACTTGATGTCAAAATTGAGCTGGAAGAGGGTATCCACAGAACACGAATTGTTGCTCAGCATCTTGAGCAAAGCATGCTCTTCAAGAAACAAATGATGTTTCTGGTATGAGTAGACCGGGCATAGCAGCAGCCCACATGCTTGTGGACCAAACTCTGAGCCAAGCATGTGGCCAACCATGCTGAAGGTGGCAGCAGTGATGTCACTCTTGATGAGACTGGGAGATGCATAGTTGCAAATGAAGAGCAGGGCCTCAGAATATGTTCACAAGCGCTGTAAGGATTTGGCACCCACACAAAACAAAACAGCAGAAACAAGAAAAGGTTGCACTTACAAGCACATATCCAGGAACAATGTTCCGGCACTTCATTGAATCTCGCCACCTGGATGCAGCCTCCTCAATGCTCCGCATCATGCTCAAAGCTGTCCCAGCATCAAACTTGGAAGGCCATGTGTTTGCATCCACCTTGGACAACAAAAGTGCAGCAGTAGTGCACACACACAAGATGGTAGGCAAACAAACACTTCAGCAACAAGGCAAGCCACAACAACAACAACAACAACGACAAAAATAACCAGAGGGACAAAAGATACACAGTACCCTCTCCAAACCTACTCTGTTGAGATGTTCCCTTCTTTTTGGGTGATTGGTGTGCTGCTGGGGCTGCAGTTTGGTGGAATAGGTCATATGAATAATAGTATCCAAGGTGCATGTTGGTCCACCCACTTGTGGACAGCCTCCTTGGCTCCTTCTTGCCTCTTCCGGTTCCATTGCTCCTTCAACTGGGTGATGCGGACCTCATGGTTGCTCATTTTACCCAAGTACACCTGGAGGCATCGCTCATCATATGCAATTTCCTCTAAGGCCAGCATGTAGCTAGCTGCATCGAGGTCAGTGGCAGACTTGAAGAGAGCAGCCTCACTTGAACCAGTGATCGCCTCACCTTTCCCAGCAGTCAGCCCATTCAATATCTCCAGAATACCTGTGGGCCACACTCACAAGACTAAAGAACCACACCCTTCCCCAACTTAGTTTTCTTTTCACCTAACCTATGGTGGACAGGTACAAAAGGATTTCACTGGGGAAAGCATTGAAATAAGTGGTTGAAATAGAAGCCACATCACACCCGTTGTCGCGTGGCCCCCACTTGTCATCTTTTGCAGAGCAGGCCGATCCGAGCTCCATCTCAAGACCGGGGTCTCCACGCCGGAGCCGCTCCAAGAACCTTGGTGGATCAAGTTGATGTTGGTCAAAAACATGACCCAAATTAAACACCAACCACACAAAGGGTGCTATGTACCCAATGTACCCCACTTGTGTTTGGTGTCCCATGGAACTTGGACATTTCCATGTTGAGATCAAAAACTCAGTATTGGCACCAAGAAGCTTCTCCTCAAGGACCGGGGCAACATTGGGAACCTGGGACGTGAGCTCATCCACAATAGAACCTCAACTTGCAAAAAGAAACACACAAATACACTAGTTGTAGTTATGTTCCTAGATGCTGGGTTATTAAGGTCATATGTGCACAAGAAAAGAAACAACATTCAGACTAGTGACAGGCAAGGGCAGTAATCTCAGCCTTCTCTTCTAGCTGGCTCTTGGTCAACTTTTTCCTGTGATTGGGTGGCATGTTGGTGTACTGATTGTGGACCATCCTGAAGAGAAGAACCACAGACTCCTTGGTGTTCTTCAATCTTGTTGTCCAGGGGGATGTTCTGGAGAGCTTGCCAGATTTGGAGTTGTAGCCAACCAGAAGCTTTTTCGATCCCAGTGCATCATCCGTGTAGGGGCAACCTGAATGTCAAATATAGTGGACAGAAGCATCATCGTGTGGTAGGGTGTACCAGCCACCAAAACAGAAACTCTTGCTGTAATAAGGAATGAGCCACCCTCCCAACCATACAGGCTGACTGTGCCAAGGATTATGTTCCTAGCAGCTTCAGGGAGCTCTAGGATGGTCTTAACAGCCTGGTACTTGTAGCCAGCAATGCGGTCATGTTTTGCAGCATCATCGTTCCTGGAAGGTTTCTTTCAGGACCCCTGTTGCTTCTTAGTGGGAAGAAACTTGCCTTTTAGTTTTGTTTTCATTCACCACGAAAGGCCTAAAAGCTTTGAGGTCTTGCTTTTGTTCCACCAAGCTTCCATGCCTTGATGAGGGACTGGGAATCAGAATGGCCCCACGCTGACAGGTTGACCAAGCTAAATACCCATGAGATTGCACTTGGCGCACGCCGGATCGCATCAGAGGAACTCTTCTTCATGTTGTAGAACCTGGGCGGTTATCTGGGTTCACCCCTGCAATTTGGTAAACAACTGGCAAAGGCCAATCAATGGCATTCAGCCCTCAGAAACCCAATCTGACCCTAGGTAATTTGGTTTCCATACTTTCACTCATGGTGCCCACTGTCAGGCACCACATGTGAAAGTAAGCAATTTGTGGAGGATTTATCCTGTACCCTGAGCTATCCATCACTACCTCTAGAGGTAAAGAAAAGCAGCACTGGAACATATACGTGGGACAGTTCAGCTTGACGGTCTCTGAGCCTGATGTGCTTGCACTTGATGCGTTGGAGAGACTTCTTCAGAATCAATGGCACCTCCAAGTGTGCATATGTCTCTAAATTCTAAGGAACAGGAACAGGTCTGGTTCCCAACCAAGTCTGTTTGGACCACACCACACCTCATGACCCATCCTGCGCAAAGCCACAACCACAGCCATGGCTGTTTGGATCCTGGCAGCACCCTTCAGGAAGTAAATGGAGCCGGGCTCAATCTCACCACTGTCTGGAAGGCTCGCTGTCTGCAGGGCTGGTGCAGTCAGGTTTGAAGGTGGTGGGGACATGGAGCTGAATACACAACACAAAACTAGAACACATCCCATGGCCCCACCTCCAGCCGAATCAGAATAGGGACACCTGTAGTTTGAAATCCATGCTTGTGGAAGTTGTTGATGAGTTTGATTGCAACATCAAGGGATGGTGGCTCCCTGAGTGAGCTCTCTGCTTCAGCTGAGAAAGCCCCCAATGGAAGAAAGAACGGTGCTTGTTCATCTTCTGCTCCTGGGATTGGAAACACCACCCAACAAAGTACTTTTAAATTTCTTGTGCCTATACCCAAACAGTTATACACAGCCCCATGTGCATGCACAGGACCAAGTAGCCAGAGAAGCATACTGGCAAAGGGTAGTCTGTAGCATAGTCAACGTCTTCACACATCCCCAGTGCCACCTCCATTACCTTGGCAATGCCCTTTGCCCTCTCACTGCGGACAGGGAATTCAGCATGCAAGTACTGGCGTGGTCCTCCAGCACCTCAAAAGTGGGAAGGTTTCACATGTTGGGTTGGTTGAACAAATCCTAACACACCCACATAGGGACAAAGAAAGGTCTGCAACTTTGGGGACAGAGGTGCTTTCAATTTCTTTGCACACTGAGTCATACAGGGTCTCAAACACCGAGTCCAAAGGCAAGGTTGAATCGGACAGCATGTCACTTCCAGCTGCTGTTGTGGATTCATCTCCTTTAGGTGAACCAGACATCACAGCATCCAGATTGCGCTCCTTGTCCTGAAGGGGCGCCAGGGTAACCAGTGGAACTGCCCACCAACACCTTTACATGCTAGATCACTGGTACACTGTTTGAACCAAGTGCCATGTTGAGCCCAAGTCTCCAATTGGTCAAACAGGCCAGGGTCATCCTCTGCCATGGTGCTCATCCCATCCATATGCAACGCTGAACACTGGACCCAAAATCTGCTGAAGTCAGGGTGCAGAATTTGAGGGGTTGACTTCAGCTGGTTTCAAATGAAACCCTCCCAATCCTTTATGTGGCAACCACCCCCTAGCTGAACTCAGGGGTCTGATTCCTGACCCATGAGATGCGCTGGCCACCCCAAAACCCCCAGGGATTGGGCAGCTTTCAAATGAAACCATCCTAAGTCTACCCATGAGATTTTGCATGCTGAGATGCGCAGATTTGCTTGGCCCTGAGGATCTCATCTGAGAATCCAACGATTTAGGTCGATTTCAAATGAAACCATCCGATCTTGAGGCCTCTGGGGAAGTTAGAGTTAGGATGTTACCCAAAAAACTTGAACAGAAACTGAGTGAGTCTGATGATATCCATTATGTTTGATTCCGGTGTAGAACTTCAGATGGTTTCATCTGAAATCCGCCGATCTCCGACCCCCAAATCAAACCAAAAACAAAACATCCCTTCTACAAGATAGCTACCTCCACACTCTTTGCCATTATAGTTACAATACATTTCCTGCTCTTTTGGACTCCCCGCAACAGCTCTCCGAGTGTTCCAAAACTGGTCAGAAACCAGGGACTCTGCTGCCTTCTAGCAGCACAGCATGAGCTATGGCATCCACCATTGGCCCTGGGTACACCTGTGCAAGTAGAGACCTCTTCTGGCCACATTCTGAGCCTTCCACCCGTTGGTGCTCCTGATGGCCACCACAGAACTTTTTGTCAAAGGCCATGACAATGGCATTGCTGTTTGTAAGTAGACATGTTCTCTTCCGCAGGAACTTCCCTGAGGGAGCCCGGAGATCAAACATGCACTGGTCAAAGGTGACCTTCTTCACACCATCCTTCTTGGTAAGGTTCTGCACCTGGTTGCAGGTTCTAGGCTTCACTCACTCCTACTCTCCATACCTCCAAGTCCCAAAAAAGGGTGTGCCCACCAAACAAACACCTCCCGCAGTTGCCCTGACATGGATTACACATAGGATTTCCAGCGCAGGGGATTTGTCAAAGGGATTTTGCATGTCAAGTTTTGGGTGGATTTGGGAGTGCAAGTTTTGTTGCCCCACTGTTGTTCCACAAGATTTGGAATGGTGATGTTGTAAGGGGAGATCAAATCACAACTTCATTGCTATCGGGTTGCAACTTGCACAAGAAGTGCCATTCCATAGCGGACATTGCATGGTGTGTGTTTGTTGTTCTGCTCACAGCCCCAGACCAACCTTTGGCTCTGGATTATGGTGCCCCAAATTGGTGTTCATCTGGTGCCCAAATTTAGGTGCCAGATGAACACGGTGGAGGCCCTCATGGGGCATGAATCAGCATGAGGCCTATTTTGTGGGAGTATAGGGAATCAAGGATTGCATAAGAACCTATTGAAGGACCATCCAAGGCAAACAAGAACATCATGAAAACAATGAACACACACTTGCAACTTCCTGGTTGCAAGTGCAGAATTCATGTATATAAGAAAGATGCGCGCAAAGATTGCACATACAGAGAAGATGGTTTTGGTATTTGCTGAGGATAAACCTGTTTGTCAGATTCTTTTTGCTGCGGTGAGAAGACAAACAGAGGATCTATTTGCTGTATATGCATACATATTATATATTTGTTGTATATACATTCAACTCTACAGTTTGCAGAGAGGAGTAAAACAGAGAGAGAAAGAGGACAAAGAACAAGGTTCTTTCTTTCTTAGCTTGCCCACTGCCCATTCTCATGTTTTTGTTACATTTGCAACTTAAGTTGGCATACTACCGGATACACCATTCGCAAAGCACCATGGTCATATGCCAACTGTAGCTATGTATGACCCACTATAGTCACTATAGCTTAGAAAGAAGAATGGACACCCCTGTTGCATCAGAGGGACCGAAGCCCGATCCCACGCTAAGGATTTCTCCGGGTGCTCCAAAGCAAAGAACAAGCCCATGGTCAGCTGGAGCAAGGCCAGCCAAGCGCAGAAGTCAATGAAGTCAAGCGCTTCTTTCAAGCACATGAACTTGTCCTTGTGCTTGATCCGGCGCCAGTTACTGTGCTGCATGCTGCACACCATTGTGCATGGTGGACTCATGAACAAGCACAAAGGTTTAAGGAGCAACACATCCTGCATGGTTGTGCGCTGGAAACTTTCTGCTGATAGGTCCCAATAATGCTTGATATCATAGCTCCGGCGTGCACGGCCACCCAATTCACGAACTCTGGGGGTGCACCTTGGTACAGAAAAGATCTCCCAAAGGTGGCATCGCATCTCCACAGCACAAGGAACTTGGCCTTTCAGGATGTCTAAGAGGTCTATGTACTTGTTGTCAACCACTGATGCAACACGGGATGCAGCAGCCTTCAATGAAGAGTCCTCGCAATCACATACCTGATGTTCAGTGTCCTTAACCACTGGAGCCCGCCCTGGCAGGTCAAGGACTAGACCATCATCATCAGATGGCAGCTCTAGCTCTGCACTTGCAGAAGGCAGCTTGCGCTTTTGGGTTTTGGGCTTGGGCTGGTTCTTGGACATCTGAGGACATGTCCGCTGAGCTTTTCTTTTGTTACCAACAACTGGCTTTTGAGGGGCAGGGGAGATCTCAGGGCCCAGATCAACCCAAGCATCATCATCACTGTGATGCAAATCCACCATAGCAGCAGGGTGGTCAGGTGGTTGTGATGTTAGACAATTACATTAGCAGTCTGACTAACAGTCATGGAAACAGAGTGCATGGTCCTAGTCTTGTTTGGCTATGCTTTTTGATACAACCAGCAGTACCCTGAGCTCACATGAAGAAGGCCGGTGCAATCTCCAAAAAAGCATAACATTGAATTTGTTTTGAAGTGTCAACTTGAAGGGTGATAACTTCAGCATCTTTGCTTCTCCCATCGGCTCACTTGCTGTAGACAATCTAGCTCATGTCACCCGATGTCATGATGACATTGAAGGGATGCAGGCTTTCCCACAACCAAACGTATCCCACAAAAAGTGGCCATCAATCAGCTTGATTGATTCTGGGCCTACCCCAAACTTGCTACCAGCCACATTTCACAGCACCTAGCGCTTGCCCAGAGCCTTGCTGCGGCCACGGCCTCGGTTCCTGCCAGGCTCCTTGGGCATGGCTTTCGCCTTGGCCTGCTTGCCACGGCCACGCCCACGCCCACGACCAGCACCTTGGTTTGAAGCTGCTGCACCATGGTCTTTCAAGAACTCCTCCACTGCCAAATCCACACAGCCACCCTGGACACACTTGTTCCAGTAGTCCCGCTCAAGCCCATCCCGCCAATACTGAGAAGGCACCATTTCATAGAACTTTGACCTCCGAGCTTCAAAGATTGCACCAGCCTCCTCATTAGTTGGCTTCTTCCTGCCTGCAAAGGTTGCCCGGGTAGGCCAAGGCATCTCTGGAGCAGGTGGGTCAGCAGGTAGGTCAGCAGCAGCACCAAAGAGATCTTTAGGCACGATCTCCTCTGTGGGAGGAACCACAGTGCTCCGTTTTTTGGACCTGGGCCCAAAGACCTGCTCACCCTCCCCCAGCGGTACCACTTTCTCTACCTCAGCATCCTTCCTTTTAGGAGGTCTCCCACGTCTCTTTGGCTCTCCACCAATGGCAGCCCCCGGGGTGATGGTAACCTGCCGCACTGGCCCAGGTGCAAATTTCTCCCACCTTGCTGATCAAGATGTGTGGAGTAAGACAGCATGTTCATGCTTCTAGTCATGACTGGGTCTAATACAGGGTGAGCAACATGTTTTCCAAAGTGTGCCAACACTGGTCAAGATGCCCATTGGGAGTTGGTTCCACACCCAGCTCACGCACATCAGTACTGAACCACCACTTGGGCTCTGGAATCTCTGGCCACTCCTGCTTCTCATTGTTGTCCTCACCCAATCAAGTAGTGGCGCATGAAGGGTTTTGCACCACCTAGTTTGAACCTACCATTCCAGGCAAACCACAAAAAAACCTTCTATATTGCAAAGTGTCCACCCACTCTCGCAAAGCTTTTGCAGCTTTATGTAGTAGCCACGGGTCCCTCTCCACCACATCCGCAGTCCGACGGAACCTGAGGCCAAACATGGGCAGGTGATATATCTTTGAGGCACGTTTTTTGCTCATACATGGGAGGGCAGAAAAGGGTGGAAGGGTAGTAGCCACACACAATATAAGGGTTTGCCCTTACAAACCAAGTTGCTCCTTTCTGGCCCTGTCCGCAATCAAGTTCCTGGGAAGAGCTTGCACTCCAACCTTCACCTTGTCTTGGAAGGATGCTGGGAGCAAAGTCATTGGGCTCTGACTCAGGCTCTCTGAGTTCACCAAGTGTTTGACCAAAAGGATGCAGTCGTTTGGAAGGTGCGGGTAGCTCTCCTTAAGCTGAGATAGAAAAACAAACTTGCTTGAGCTTCTCTGCACAGCTATGGAATTGGAGAGACCCCAACCCAAAAATTTACCACAAAGCAAAAACACTTCCTAAACTAAGCTTCTTTTGGGATCTCTTGAGGAGCCCACGACTCACCAGTTTGGTCATCATAGACAGGCAGGTCCTTGCATTGGCAGCCAAATGCTATCACATTTGAAAGAATTGGAAGCACCCATTCACAAACAAAAAACCTTGGAGAAATGGGATCAAGGCGCACTGCGGCGGATGAAGCGCCAGCAATGGTTTGCATCAGCTGGATCATGGTGGGAGGTCACCAGGCCTCCAATCTCAACAGTGTACTGAGACAGGTATTTCTTCATATCCAGACTTCCTGGGAGTAGTTCTACCTTGAGAGTTCTGTTCCGGATTGGTGAGAACTGGTTCTTGAGCAGATCCACAAAATCCTGACACAGTGAAAGCAAGACTGACTAACATCCTAGGGGTGGAACAACAGAATTAAACATCCCATGGGAAGACCAAGAGTATTTGGAAACACACCCAGGGTAAAGGCTCCACTGTCCTCAGGTGATTCAATGCAAGCTTGCTTGCTGAATGTGGCAGCTGCTTGGCCCAACCGCTGGTCAATGGGGCCGTGTGTGTGCCCCACTTGGCCAAAGATGTGCGTGACTGACCTGAACCTTGTGGCCAAGTTCCTTCAGATAAATCACCAAAAAGGAACCCCACTAAAACACACCAGCCATAGGGAAACATTTTTTGGTTTCAGATGAGGGACCGGTTTGTGATGATTGCACTGGCACTCAGCTTGGCCATGATCTGGTTTTTGCCTTCTCTGACACAGTTGTCCGTCTGCAGGGTAAAGCCAAAAACAACATTGGACTAGTCATCATTATTTCAAAAGACATGGTTCATTAAGGTTGGGCATGTGTGTTTGCACCTACAAACAGTTTAATTTTAAGGGATCAACGCCACTCCTCTATGACCAGATGTTCTGGCAAAGAACGGCCATGGCGAGATAGCTCTTCATGGGCCCAGTCCACAGCCTTCATCACCAACGTGGCCTCGCAACTGGAGTCCTTTGCCACATCCGGTGGCAAAATGACATATCCCTCAACAACCTCAGCTGGAAAAATCATTCAAGGAAAGAGTTTCCAGCAGCATTATGGATATTAAAAAACAGAGTCTTTATATATATATATATATTGTAACTGTATATACAATCAGCTACATAAAGTAAAAGAAACATAGCACCTGACCTGGTCCAAAAGAGTACCTGCACAAATCAAAGTAACACCCCACACGATAACACCTACCAGGTGTAACTGAGGACGCCAGCAGCTAGATAGAGTCTTGGAGCTTGCTAGATTCCTGGGAAACTTTGTTTTATTCTGGTCAAGGCCATCCAGGTCAATCTTCAAAATGTTGGAGCCCTCTGTCTCGCTGAGGGTGTTCAACCGCCCCTGAATGAGGCGGTACTGGTGCACGTTGAGAAGGTGGCCCTTCTGCACAGCCTCCAACTTCAAGCGGTCAGACTCACAGGCTGCTTTGTTGCACCTGGCGCTGAACTCTGCACAAGTACTGCACCTGAAGGGCAGGAGAAACACAAATTTGCTATGCTTACAGTCCACATGCAGTATCCACTGGGAACTAGCCTCCTTTGTTATCAAGATTTGTCAAACACTTGTGTTCACACCCTGTACCTGGCATGCTGTGATACAGTTCGCATCCGCAAAGTGGACTTCCATTGAGTGTCATAGGTCTTGCGGAAGCACCAACATCCAGCAATCTCAGACTCATCAAGGGCTGCCCCATCGGCCCACATCAAGTAGATCTGGTAGAATGCTTCCATGGTCATGTGGTTGATGTACCGCGGTGCCAAGCCTTTGCCGATGTGGTGTTTCCACTTGAAAAGAAAACAAGTTGAAACTATCTAGTTCTTTCAAAGCAGAAAAATTGAGAGAAACTGGTTCAAGGCACTTGTAGATCCATCCGATGGTGTGAGTCTCACCATTTTTGCTGGAGCATTCACCTCTGCCAAAGCAGCTTCTGAGTAGTGAGCTGAGCCCTCCATGAAAGATGCTGGCAGCTCTGATGAAGCCTCACCTAGATTGCAAACTTAAGATTGCTTTTATATATACATATATATATATATGACTCCTCTTTCTCCCAACCCTGAGACCCACAAAAAGAAACTCTGCCTTAAACAGCAAGCAAAGTAGCTAGGCAGAAAGAGGCCAGAGGTGCACATAGCAGCACCTTGCAGTTCTTCCTCCGGCGGTGCCTCTGCCAATGTCTCAGCCTCATTGGTACATGGCAAAAACACCAGCGCACTCCCCTTTTACCCAAAGATTTTTTTGCTGCAAGTGTTAGGGGCAGTGGGCCAAGGTAAAGAAAAAGGGACAATGCAACTTTGTATTCCACAAAGGTGCAAAGTTCCAGTAGTAGTATGTGAAGAAAGAATCCACATTGTTGCCCTTGGAAGGGGCGCGGCCATTGTGCTTCCTCTTGTCTGGTGGAACCAGGTTCAAAGCAAGACCATCAAGAAGCCGCATCACCTTGCTGCAAACGCTGGTCACTGCGAGTGGCTTGGTCTTTAAATGATTACCAAACAGAAACCTTCAGGGGAGAGTGAAACATCAGGATCTGCTTGCAGCAGGCCAAGCAACCCTTTTCTCATTGATGCCAAGCAAAATGCAGAAACCATTGCGGCATAGAGTGGCTCCACACAGCGCCCACTCCAACGACAGTGAGTCCTTAGATCATGGTAAGTCATGGTTGGCTTCCAATACTCAACCCTTCAACCCTTCAAACATAGCCACACCAAAGAGCACACTAAATGTTGCCAAAACCTGCACATGGTATTATTAGCCAATCAAGTCTCTCCCACGTTCTCCTTTTTAGATAGCTTGCCAAGAATACCCAAGATAAATGCATTGGTCTCTTCCTGGTTCAGGTCAGCCATCTTGGAGCGGATCTCCTTCAGGGAACCCAGTGCCCTTTTTCTGTTTGTTGTGCAGTTGCCACCTCCACTCCTAAATTACTAAAGGACACCCATGACAAGGTCTTGCCATTGTTAGGCCAACCACTCCATCAACACCTGTGGATCCATGAAGTGTTGAACCCCTTGCCTCCATGCTTTTGACTCTCTGTGAGCTTGCCCGGAAATGGTGGACACACATCTTTGCACAGCACTTCAGTGCTTTCTCTGCAGAAAGCCTGGAAAAACCAGTTGGGGGCAAAGAGACAGGAAGGCCGGGTTCCTATGTTAAAAGTAGCTTCATGAGACAGTTACTCAACATAGGTCCAAGGCACCCCTCACTGACAGATTCCATTCGCTTCCGGGTTGGTGTCTTCAAATCAGGGACAGCTTTGTGAGTCAAGGAAACCAGGTCAAGGTTGCTAAAGATCTGTGGTCCACAATCATCGGGTGGAAGCTCCATAGCTGGCAACTACCCGTGGCAATATGAAGTGGCCAAAATGACAAAGGAACCAAAAATGAATGACAATGTTGTCCCCCTAGACATTGATATCCTTTTATATCCTTTTATGATGATGTGTTGAAACCTTGTTGATGCATGCGCCTGCCTTGCACATTATGTAGCTGGACTGCAGGATTGCAAGCAGAGCAGGATAAAGGCACAACTACTGATTTGGATTGTTAGAGAGGGCCATATGTCCAAGATCGAACATGTTCATAGTAAAACATGTACCACAGTTCCAACTGGACCCAGATTGCTTGATCCACCTGATGATCTCACTGGACTGGGAGCCCAGGCCCTGAGAGCTGCAGCGCCAATGCAGCTGCTCCAGCGCAGTGGCTGCTGTTCCAACCCCCCAACTTTCTCTCTCTCTCTCTCTCTCCCTTCCACAATTGGCTGATGATCAATTATCCTCAGCCATTATACCCTCAGGAAATCACCACCATCATCAAGCAAAAATCCTCCCTAATCAAATCAAAAACTTAGGGATGGCCTCCAACCTACTAGCGACGGCCTCCAACCTACTTGCGATGGCCTCCAACCTACTAGCGATTGTCTCCAACCTTCCGGTAGACCGTTGGCAACGAGTAAGGCATAGTGGTCACCACCGAATTCCCCGGCTCCGTGATAAACTGCAGAAAGTAATCGAACAGGAACTCCGTGTCCGTGGGACCACCCGCAGCTTCGGGATGGAACTGCACGGAAAACCAAGGCCTGGAACTCCAAATTGGAAAGACTGTTTTCGAACATAGAAGTGAAACATAACTTACTGTAAACAAATATAAGGCGCACAAAGCACAATCTTTTCCAAAGCGGCCTGGACGAGTGAATGATGCCTTCGTTGGCGCCATCGTTGGCATTCACCATCAAAGGCACCCAATTCGAAGGCAAGGAGCTCTGATCCACTGCGAAGCCATGGTTTTGAGCAGTGATATAGCACCGTTGGGTTCGCAGGTCCACCACTGGCTGGTTCATCCCTCGGTTCCCGAACTTCATCTTGTAAGTCGACGCACCTGTCAACATGGTTGGTGACTATGACAAAGCATCACATCTACAACTTTCTTCTCTTACCATGTAATATACAAATGTGTATCTTCCTTTTTTGTTGACTCATCAATTTCATTCATATGAATTCATTTCGAATTTCATTTGGAGAAGCCCTGAGACCTGCTGCCAAAGCCAAGATCTGATTGCCCAAGCAAATGCCAAAGATCGGCGTCTCGGGTCGGTGCTTCATGACGTATCGGACGTGCTCCACCGTGGCCTGACACATGGTCGGGTCTCCTGGGCCGTTGCTCAAGAAGAGCCCATCGAAGTCATCTTGGGTGAAGTCATAGTCCCAAGGCACCACCGTCACGCGCAGTCCCAAGTTCACCAAACACCTTTCGGAGCGGAGGCGCGAGACGCGGAGCGACGCGGAGCGACGCGGTTGGCGTTGGCAAGAAAGATCTTTTGGGCCCACAAAACGGACTTCGTTGGAATTCCATCTGGAATCTAGATGAATCAGGATACCCTTTTCGTTGGAGGTCCTCCCTGTTTGCTAGCATACACCCTGATGCACTGGCCTGATGATGTTGTTCTTCACGCCGCAATCTACAGCCAAGATATGCACCTGTCTCTTCAAACGTTCGTTGACCTTCACAGGTGTATAGACGTCTTTTTGCGTCCTTGACACTTCGGCCACGAGATTCCGCTTGTTCGGGTCATCCAAGGCCAAAGAAGCTGATGGAGTGCTTCCTTGCACAACATCGATCCACTTTGCCGGATGATTTTCGTGATGAAACGGGTGTCCACTCCATAAATGCCTGGAATACCCTGCGAGGCTAACCACTCCCCCAGGCTGCGAATACAGCTGTAGTGCGAGGGCTCGTAGGAGTAGTCCGTGATCACCACGCCCTTCAAATGAATCCTCACACCATGAGCTGTACCGAATCAGACACCTTTTTCTTAGCCCGCGCCTGCTTAATCTAGTAAGGGAGAAGTAAGCTACTAGGAGAAGTTACGCTCCTAGCTAAGGACGCAGGATAGCTCGCGCTAATGATTTGGTTCCTAGATTCTTAGAGAAACTTAACTCTACCTTTGACTGCTTGCTCTACCAACGAGAAGAGTTTATCCTGATCACTTGGCCATGGAGGCCATGGCCTCAGGACATCCTTCAGCCAGCTTCCAAACATTTTGGATACAAGATACATATAAAACTGGAAAACCGTCTGTCTGAAATAGGATCATTGGGCATTGCTCCTAGATATGCGGGTGTATTTCAATAGAGTTGATTTGTCCTCTATCCGTGAGCCTTGATGAGGTCTCCCTATTTCAATACACATGGAGACCTCCCATATCCCATCTCTCTGCTCCGCACAACACCTTGGATTCACTCTTGTGCTGAGAAACTTGTGGCTCTCGAACCACCGAGGCAAGCCAAGCTCATCCTTTTCATCGGATGGAATGCCGTAGTTTCCAAGGAGCGGATAGGTAAACACCAAGATTTGCCCTGCATAGGATGGATCAGTGATAGATTCTGGGTATGCCACCATCCCTGTGTTGAAGACCACCTCACCGGAAACAGAGGTGGCTGCGCCAAAAGAATTGCCTTGTAGTGTTGTTCCATCCGCCAACTCCAAATTGCACTTCCTTCGGGCGTTCACCCACCGAAGCAAGTCTGAGGCTTTTCCTGTGTTTGGCTTAGCATCCAAGGGATCCACTCCGTCAAAGCCAACGAAATCCCAGCCTATCTTCTCAGGGTTTTCAGCCCAGGCGCACGTAGAAACACCAACAGCGTTCGCAGGTTTGAGAGTTCCACCAAATGGCTGAAGCATACAAACAAACAAACATACACGCAAAACAAGGCCGTTCTTTTTCGCACACGCTTTTGCGAATCACTGGGCTACAAATGGAATAGACCCTGTAACAGGCAAAATCCTGAGTTTAAATTCATCAAGCACATATCAAAAAATATAGTTTGATAAATAAATATATATATATATACTATATAATATACATATAAATTGATATAAAATATATATTTTTTGAATTTGGCACTATGCCATCACAGGTTGAGCTATGTGTTGTCGAAGTGATGGTGGCACCTCAATCACAGGTGGATACAGGCGATACAGGTTTGATTCCTCCCTATTTTGGGACGTCGAGGATCTTGCTGGAACTGTGATGGGAGCTCTCGATTCGTCCTTAGGGGACTTCAGCTTCAGCCTCAGCTTTGTCTTCCAGGCCATGGATCAGTTGAGCAAATCAGGCAAAAGGTGATGAGACAATGGTTGAGCACTTCACTTCCACCAACTAGTTTGCGAACCAAGCAAATTAGCTACTAGGAACAAAGGGCATCGCTACTAGGAGCAGGGACGCTACTAGTAGCTCCTGGCCTTACTACTAGTCTTTTTTGCTTTGAATCGGTTCTGTAGAACTTCTGTGAAGATAGACCTTTTGAGACCCGAACGGCTCTTGCTGCTTTGCAGCCGGCCGCAAAGCTAAGGGTGCGCGCGACACATTGGCAGCTGCCTGGGAAAATCAGCCGCACCGGTGTCTCAAACTTGGAGACTGCGAACCCAAAAACCACGCAGTTTCCACCTGCTGCTTGTACTCATCACTGTGCTTGTCCTGCAAAGCTCCCACGCACTGAATCCACAAGACTCTTCAAACAAAGCATACTGCATGCTATGGTGGCTACTGTCATTCCTGCTGCTCTTGTTGAATCTTTAGCAAGAAGGTCATCTTGGCAGCCGCAGACAATGGCCTGACAGAGCATGAACATCTCGTCTAGAAGCACACCTCTCGCGGAATCTCATGCATTTGAGACCTCCAGTCGGCAGCGTTGACCATATGCAAATGATGACCAAGTCGACCAAGCAAGCGATGTCTCAGTCGCTTCTCCGCCACCAAAGCCTCAGCAGTTTCTTCCCGCAAGAAGGCTTTCCAACTTCCAAAGTATCCATTGTTGCATGTTTGTTCGTAATAGTGCTATGCAAATTGACCTTGGACACTCCAGCCTTGGTGCCCTCATAGAAATGATGCGGGGAGTTCACCTACACCAAGCTCGATGCATTTCCACAAGTCCACCTAACCGCCAAGCCTCACCCTGCCTCGTAAATGATGCGACGCGAGGGGTTCACCATATCTTTGGCGACAACATCCAACAAGTAGGGACCTCAGATTTCATGGCACGACAGCTAGGAGCGCAGACATTGAAACTGTCAGTTGAGAGCCTGTGACCACACCATTCTCATGCTCAATGCCCAAGTGCGTAAGACACCTCAGATCCATTGCGCAACAAATAACAAACACTCCTACGGATTTCTATGGTCCCCACGCACTTACGTCCCGATGCATGTCGGAACTGAACACATCGCTTGTGTTATTCGTTTTGCTTGCGGCAGCCTCCAGGCGGTAGGACTTCTTACTTAGACAAGAAGATTGAGAAGCTTTGCGAATCTCACAGTGCGAACTCCAGCCATGTCATGCCACATCAACAGATCTGCACATCTCCACAGCGGTCGTTCACGAGGTCGATCAAATTGAGATTCGACTGACGTCGACCCGCCTTGCGGAGGAGCGAAACTTCCAGCTCGTGGCGGTCATCGCCTGAGAGAGGAACCCAAAAAGAAGATACATACCGCGAGGATCCGCGAGGAGACTTTTTTTGCTTTTTATAGATCAAGCAAAGGATGCTCTTTGTCAAGCCTTATAACAACATTTAGATGCCTCTCAATCAACGATCTTTCTTCATTCTTAATGGAGGCCATCACTAGTAGGTTGGAGGCCATCACTAGTAGGTTGGAGGCCATCGCTAGGTGTCGGCCCGAGTACCTCCCAGCTGGTACACCTGGTCACACTGATGACTCGGGAGGGCGTTTCTCAATCCTTTGATCCCGAGCCATGGCTGGATTCACTGGAGGAAGGGTCGAAAGTGACCGTCGCTGGCAAGGCATGGTTTTTCGATCAGCATCGGGAAGCCTACCACTGTTCGACGATGCTTCATGGTCAAAAGTTCCTGCTGCAAGGGTTGCGTCTGAAGCTTGACCGTTTTGCCTTGTTCAGAGCCACAAAGGTCACACAACATGGTATGACATACCTGGATGCCAAAGCCTCGGAGATACACTTCCAGGAGATCCTGCATAGTGAAGATGCCAATGACATCATAGATGTGTGCTCCGGCTATGCAGTCATGACAGCCGGATATCACCTGTTGAACTGCAAGGTGCGATGCCACGTTGAGATCAATCCACGATATGTCACCTGGTTGAGATCCCGGAAAACGCCTGTCATTGAGGGTGACATCGACGACGTTGAAGTCCAAATCCAGCTGATACCCTTCATGGAGAAGCCAGGCATACTGACAGGAGGGTTCTCTTGTCAACCCTTCTCGCAGCTGGGGGACCAGAAACAGCAACTGGATCCGAGGGCTCGCAGTTTTGAGGGATTGGTGACAACATGTTACCTTTTTCAGCCTGCAGCAATGATCTTGGAATGCACGAAGGAGGCAATGACTTCACCGTGGGTCCAGAGCTCGCTATCGATGTTCAGCCAGTTGACCGGTTATTCCTTCCAACAGCAGATCTGCCACCTACATGAGTTTTGGCCTGCGAAAAGGACACGATGGTGGGCCATCCTTGTCCATCCCAATGTCCGAATGCCACCGTTACAGAGCTTCCCGAGCCTCGACTTCAAGCCCTCCTTTCGACACCTGTTGCCGAAGCTCGCTAGTTGGCCACTGGAACATGTACAAGAGTTGCAATTGACAGCACTTGAGCTTGAGGTTTTCGCCGATCAGCCGGGTGGAATCGGAAGCAATGCAGTGAATCCGACCAAGCCATTACAAACAGCCCTACATGCCTGGGGCTCACAGCTCACAGCCTGTGCTTGCGGATGCAGAGCTGGAGGATTCACTCCGAAGAGACTGGAAGAAAAAGGCCTGTATGGCGCTTTGATTCCCGCCCCCGGCCAGACAATGGTCCGCCGACAAGATGTGGCCAACATGCGCCATATTCATCCAGATGAGGTAGCTGTTTTGCATCTCGTCCCAACACGGCATCTGCAAGCTGAAGATCGACACCTCAGGCTCGACTTGACAGCTTTGGGTCAGATCGCATCACCAGCTCATGCACTGTGGCACGTAGCTCAGGTCATTCAAGCTTTTGGTAATGCGTTTGGAGCACCCACACATCATGCACTAGCCGAACAAGGCTTGTTGCGGCTTGCGGTTGAAACATTTGCCGCCCGTGATGACATGCTTCAGCCATTCACCCACTCCAGAGAGTCCGCATTGTTTCAGGCAGCCATCTTGGCTAAGTTTGGGGTCCAGTACGAAGCACAAATCCCCCAAACCCCTTTGGTAGAAGATGTCCGGTCATACCCAGCACAGAGTACCCAGGGGGCCTTGACACGTAAGACCGTGGACAATGGTGATGCCCATTTCGAAGGCATGCAGGTCGTATCCCCTACGGGAGGGTTGGAGTTTTTCGCCAATAGGTCGACCAGCGGCTTGAAGACATACGCCCCAATTCTCACTGACTGTTCGTCTGACCGTGATTGCCCAGGTGATGATGGACATGCATTCGAGCCTGATCGTAGCCGATCGAAGCGACCGTCTTCAGCCGAGACCTCCCTAGCCAGTCCCCTGTCCAGCTCAGGGGAGGACAAGCATGGCCGTTCCAGGTCACCTGCAGGCCAGAGGTTTAGCATTCGGCCAGGCATGAGCGCACCAACTGATCCGCCGCTTGCCCATGTCACCACACAGGGCCATAGCCAGAATGCATCCCAGGGGTCATGGCAGTTCAAGTCCTGTTGTCACACCGGGGTCCACCAACAACCCCCAAATGGCAAAGGTAAGGGAGGGAATGGGGCGGGCCACATGCGCCCATCATGGCCCCATCCAGCAGTTGAACCTCATCCAGCACAAGATTCGAACCATGCTCAAGAACCACCAAATAGGGTTGATCCAGGGGATGACCAGAGTCAGGGTGGGACCATTAAGGACTTCCAGATCACTGTGTGTTGCAAAGGTAGCCAACCCACCAGGGTCCAGGTCCGGTCGGGTGCCACTGTTGGCCAGTTGTCACAGGCCGAAGAGCAGTTCGCAAGCTTTGCACAGCCGATTGCAGTCACTACAATGACAGGGGTCCCATGTCCGCTGATGACACCACATGCTTGGTATGCCATCGCCAATGGAGCCACACATGCAGTCCCAACATGCCAAGCGGTCCATCCCTGTCAAGCCACTGTTTTGACAGTGCAGGGCCAAACAAGGTTCCAGGGTTTACTTGCACAAGGTCCGTTGGTTGCAGTTGATGAGATGCAGTTCTATGTGCAGGTTGTTCGACAGCTAGGGCACCAAGTGACGGACCCCTTGGAACTTGAAGACTTCATGGACTCTGACCAGCAAATCGCCGAATGGGCCCTGCAGTCCCTCCATGCACATGAAAACGATAGATCCCTGACTTGGTTCGAGGTGCCCGTCCTCGCTCGCAGTCACTGGTTCCCGATCGGCCTGCAGGTATCAGATACGGGTCCGACCTTGTGGCTGCCACGAGAAGTTGCGAACTTGGTCCAGGCCAATGTAGTTGCATCATGCGGACCGCATGAATTCGGGTTTGATGTGTTCGAGCTCCCTACTGTGTTCTCAGCAGATTGTGGGTTCCAAACCGTTCACTGGTTATTGGAGAAGGCCAACGGCCATGACACCCCCAAAGCCGTCACCATTCCACAGGCCAATCAATGGAGGGTCCGGTTTGCGCAACACTGCCTGAGCAGTGACCAAGTCATGACCCAAGACCTTCGGTTGGGAGGAACGTTGCATCCAGATCAACTGCTACTGCAGTCAGTCCTCAAGCAGCACGGGGTTGGTCAGGACCGGATCGCAGATTGTGCGACTAACCTCATTAACAAGTTAGGCCATGAAGCCATCGCTAAGGCCCTCAGCAGTTCGCAACCATGGAAGGACTTGAAAACCATTGCCACCCAGGCCTCGCCACCGATTCGGATTGTCTTGGCCTCTGAGATCGACGCAGCTGTCAAAGCTCGCCTGGCTACTGACAAGCCGGTTGGATCGAAGACCAACAAAGCCAAGGCCTCGAAAAGTCCGAAGCCACCAGTGATCCCCACGGCCGAACAAATCCAGTTGCCTGATGCAATTTTCATGCAGCAAGACGGCCAAAAGCTCCATGCTATACCAGTTCACAAGGTCGAAGCACATGCCCAGGGAGTTTCGCTGTGCAACCTCCATGAAGTCGTCCACTTCCTGGGCCTCAAAGAGCCAATTAGTGCGGAAGGCATGGCCTTGCTCATTCTGGACCACACCGACACTCGGCTGCCTGCTCATGTCGAACAAATTCGAGCCCCTGCCATGTCGGCCACCACGGGAGAACCCATGTTGGTCTCGGCGGCAATGCTCCAGCTTGGGGCGAAGCGAGTCGTGCGTCATGTGCCGTCCGAGAGCTTTGCCTTGGAAGAGATTCAGACCAAAGTGTTGAAGGTTGTGGTGTATCAAGAAGAGTGGGCGGGAGGGTGGGCTTCGTTCGTCCAACATCCTGTCAGAGCCATTTTTGACCACAATCTCACGCAAGACCCAGCCTTTCCTCTGACAGAGCACATCATGGATGTCTGGGACCGACAGCTGTTAGATTCCAAAATGGCCCGCACTCCGGCTGCCCAGGCTGAGATCTTCGCTGTGCTCATCCGAGTCACCGACCGATTTGCAGCCCATTTACTGCCAAGCTCAGGAATCGATGGCATCTATTTCGAACCAAGGACCATGGATGGCCGCAAGCCGGACCCTCAGTACCGAGTGATCTGGATGCCTAAGAAGAATTTAGCACAAGTTCGATTAGCAAGAAGCCAGACTGAATCACGTACCACCATCGTGCGCATGGGCACCAGATTCGGCCTCCGAGCGGACAAAGACCATGCCGAGCAAGTGCACCTGCAGCATCGACCAGATTTGATGTTTCTTGATGGCCAGGCACTTCGACCGTTCAAGGTAGGCCCGTTTCCGTATGGATCCACCAAAGCAGCACTGTCCAAAGGGTTTCAACACCTAGGATGGAACGCACGGCCAGTTCAGCCCATATCCCAACTCCAGGTGTCCGAAGGCATCTTCTGGCATGTCGTGGCTCCTCAAGAGCCAACGCACTGGATTTACCAAATGAAGCATGGCGATGTTCTGATTGCAAAAATGGAAGACACCAAGGAGTCAGCAGTGCCCAGTGCTCATCACATCATCGCATCCAAGAAAACCATCTCGTCGTTGGCACGGGGGGTCCAAGAGGCCACAGTTGATCCATGGCTCAAGCAAGACCCATGGCAATCAGGGAGTGCCCGCAAGGCTGTGACAACCACCAGCATGCCAGCTGTCTCACAAGGGCAGCTCACAGCCCTTGAACAGAGACTCGAGCAGAAGATCCAGGCTTCAACCGCTGAAGCCAAAGATGACTACATGCAAGTTGATCAATCGGCCAGGATTGAGGCCTTAGAACACCAGGTGCAATCGCTGACACACAATTTCTCCAGCTTCCAGAGTCAGCAGGTCAAGGTCAATCATCAAATCGCTGGGCAGATCCAGGGACTTGAAGGGAGGATTGACGCCC